CTAGTTGTGGCAAATTTTGGGTTTTCTATTGGGCGCTGAGCGCGCCCCTTGTTGCGCTGGGCGTCAGACTCCTTGGGAGTCTCTGCCTTGTGGGCGCTGGGCGCAATTTGAAGTGCGCTGGGCACGGGATCAAGGGAGGTCTCTGCCTTCCCTGCGTTGGGCGCGGGATTTAGGTACGCTTGGCGCGTGAGACTCCTCTGAGTCTCTGCCTGGCCAGCGCTGGGCGCAATAGCCATTGCGCCAAGCGTGAGAGAGCCTTGGGTTCTCTGGTTGAGTCCCGCTGGGCGCGGGCACACCTGCGCTGGGCGCGCTGGCCCCCTGGTGCTCTCTGGTTGCGCTGCGCTGGGCGCAGCCACGTGCGCGCCGGGCGCGGAGATGGGATGGTTATGTATGAAGTTTTATGCTGAGTTGAATTGAAATAGAAGGTTATGAAATGATGTCTAGCAGATAATGTTATTATTGATATTGAATTGTATCTGATGAATGTGTTGAGAAGTGGTGTTATGTTGTAGCTGATTTGTTGAACTGTGAAGTTGATATGTTGAGATGTATAAGTTATGTTGTGTTGGAATATTGATGTGAGTTGTTGTAGGCCGCAAGGCTGAGTTGTTGTAGGCCGTAAGGCTGAGTTGATGTAGGCCGAAAGGCTGAGTTGTTGTAGGAGATCTCCGAGTTGATATGCGTGACGACGCATTGTATGCTTATTGATGATCACGTTGAAAATCGAGGGAATGTATGTTGATGAAGCATAAATAGTCGTGGTTGTTTATATTTTCTTAAAAATCTTGCTATATGTTGTTTTCTTTATGCTAGCTTACCCTTTGTGTTTCCATGTGATTGGACTGCTATGATCGTACTGTGTACGGGAGCAGAGCAGGGATAGGTGATGGATAGTGATGAGTCGGCAACCGATAGATGGAGCTGATTTCTGCGGATGTTCTGTTTGTTTTGGTCACTTGGGAGAGTGACTTTTGATGTAATCCCTATATTACATGCCCTAACTCTAGTCAGATTCGGGACATATGTATATACTTATATTCTAGACTCTATATTTATATACTTGTTCTATTCTGTCTAGTGTTTCCGGTATGTTTTGGTGGTGAGTGAATGATCAGTCGGGTCATTACACATTGTATAGATGATGAGGTAACAATGATCATTTCTTTACTATCATCTCACCTCAATTAAAATCGCATCAATACTCAAACAGAACAAAATTATTCATTAAATTTTGACATAACTTTTTTTTTTTTTTTTATTGTAAAAGTATCTTAAATTACTTATAAATAAAATATTTAAAGTTGTTCAACTTAAAATTAATTATTAGATTCATATAAGTTCTTCAACAAAACTAAACATGTAAATATTTACTTAAAATTATATTAACAAATATTTTCAACATAATTTTATATGATCCATCAATCTAAATACACACTATATTTATCTTCTATAATTCGAATATGAAGATTTGATTCCAACTTCTCTGGTATAATGAGAGTGCCTCACGAATGACAAAATAGTTGAAAATCAAACAACCTTAACCGAAATCAATCAAGTAAGAAAGAAACACCTACCATTCAACATTCATGTGCTTGCATAGAACAACACAACACAGCTACCTAAAAGAAAAAAAAAGAGTGACAAAAAAAAAAAACAACTCTAGCCATGTGCGAGGAAAACAACAACCAACAAGTTAGTTGTAATAATAAAATTTTTATATATAAACAAACTGATAAAGTAGATACATAATGATCAATCACCCGCATAATTGAATAAAGCTAATGCATCGAAGAAGGTACCGAGAAATGAGTATTGGAGAATCTGGAATTAATGATAACATTGGATGTTTCCAATGTCTAAAGCAGCAAAGCTCAATGCTACTTTCCCTTTTGTTTTAAATCAAATGAGATAAATAATTAATATCCTACATGTACGTGTGTGCCAAATACTTTAATCAATAATAATCATCTTCTGTTTTAAATAAAATGAGATAAATAATTAATATCCTACATGTATGTGTGCCAAATACTTTTAATTAATAATAATAAAAATTAATCACCTATCCACTGTTAGTGTAAAGTTTTTTTACACTACCAACTAATTATGTCTTTTAGAATTAATCATCTATAAACTGTCAGTGTAAAATTTTTTACACTGACAACTAATGATATCTTTTAAAGTTGCTTATTTTTATTATTATTTCATTAAATAAACAACTGATATGACATTATTAAAAGATATGATTGGTTGTCAGTGTAAAAAACTTTACACTGATAATGTATAGATAATTAACTCTATTTTTTAATTGTGCTATGTCATTGTAAATACATTTATTTTTAACAGTGACATGACATAATTAAAAGATATAATTAATTACCAATATAAAAAAACTTTACACTAACAATTTACAAGTGATTAACTCTAATAATAATCTTTCTATTGCATTCAATAGGTTAAAGACGTAAAAATAGAGAAATTCTCTAGTAATTATTATGGGCCATTACTACTTACTAGACCCTCTCAGCCTATAGAGTATTATAAAATAAACATGATAAAAAAAAAAGGCAGATGATAAACACACCTCCACTCTTGTATAAATATACCCCTTTTAAAAAAAAATATAAAAAATGTCTAAATTACCCTTAAAATAAAATAAGATTCCTAAATTTACACCTCCGCACCCCACACCCACACCCCCTTCCCCGCACCCTCACACCCCACACCCCCCTTCTTCCTAAAGTGACAAACATTGTAGTCCGTAATTGTACCCCCAGTTTTTCTACAGTGGCCAGTCTCTATTGTTCCCCAGAAGCACGAGACCCGCCCCAATTGCAGCAAGCGTGGCTGTTGGCACACGCATTGCACAGACAAAGTGTTCACCATGGATTTGTCGATGAACACTATTTGTTTGAAATATAGTACAATTGTGGAAATAGCAAACATGTGCAGTGTGTCCTTTCTTGTTACGGAGTCGCGAGAGGTCCACGCCATTGAATGTCATGTTGTTGACGAAAAGCTGGGCTTGGTGGTCATCCCCGCAGGCCCCAATAATTTCGGTGGAAATTTCGAAACCGCAAGTGAGTCCGCGAATTGTGTTGGCGACGCTGCCACCGGCGAGAGTTTTGATTGAAGAATTGGATTTAAGCTCCTTCAGTATGTATTCGAGTTCTTCAATGGCAACCTGTATGAAGAGGGAATTGAGTTAAGCGCATTATAATTAGTGATGAAGGGAAGAGAAAGGAAAGGCGTAATTGAAAGAGAGAGAAAACAGACGAGGATGGAGCCACCGCTTTCGCCGGGAATCTGGTGGAAGGGGGGTGTGAGGGTGCGGGGAAGGGGGTGTGAGGTGCGGGAAGGGGTGTAAATTTAAGAATTTTATTTTATTTTAAGGGTAATTTAAACATTTTATATATTTTTTTTTAAAAAGGGAGTGTATTTATATGAGAGTAGAGGTGTGTTTATTATCTGCAAAAAAAAAATCATAAGGCTCAATACAAATGAATCCTTTTCAACTTCAGCCCAACACCCTTCTCTATTCCAATTATTTTTGGCACTACATTATATTTCATAAAGGTGTGAAACAATGGAAGCTATCTCAAAACCATAACTAATAACCACTCACAAATGAAAGGATTCGATATTAAAACATCCTTTAAATTTAGATCTAATTGAATCCCAAAACTAGCTTATTTTTAGAGAGGATCCCTTATATACACTAGTATTATATCTCTACTATTCAATGTAAAATTTACGCATTAAAAATATTACTTCACTCAAAGAAAATTATATAAGCAAATTTTAAGGTGTAGACAACTCTAATTCTCTTTTAAATATATATTGACTTTGAGTGTTAGAGTCGTTGCAAGTGATTGAACTAAAATTTGATTTGTGAAAAATCATGAAAAATTATAGATTTATCTCAAATATTCATCACATTGGAATAATGTTGACGAGTAATAAATAACTTTATATTACCTCTTTTCTTATTTATAAGATCTAATTATCTAAGTTACTAATATTAAGTGAAGAAGTTAATTTAGTTGATAACAAAAATTTGTTCTATTTATACATTTTTTTAACTATCCTTATACTACTTATCTTTTTAATTAATACTCATATATCTTTTAAATTATAGAGTGCATGTCCTATACCATTTAACTCTCTTAATTAATACTTACATTTATCATAACCAATTAAAGTGTACAATCTAAATTATAAATGTATTTTATCAAATTAAGAGAAAACACTTTAATCAAGAGTATTTTAGTCTAAAAATAATTAGACAAATATATTTTTTAGTCCCTCAAATTTAGAGTAAATTTATTTTTGGTTTCTCAAATTTAAAATTGTTATTTTTAGTCCGTATAATTTCAAAAAAAATCTTATTTTAGTCCTTATATTCAAATTTTGATAAGAAATTTATCAAACATTATTTTATAAAATTTATTTATTGGTATCTCTGTTAGTGAAAACATCATTTAAATCTAGTTAGTATTGTATAACCGTCTTAATTTGTTACTTTCAGATATGTTATTAGTGCTCTAAAGGATTAAAATAAAATTTTAAAAAATTACAGGACTAAAAATAATAATTTTAAATTTGAGAGATTAAAAATAAATTTATCACAAATTTAAAGGATTAAAAACATATTTAAATCAAATAATTAATATATGAGACAATATGTTAAGTCTTATATAAAAAATAAATAATTATTTTAAATTAGCTTTTATAAATAGAAACGAAGTTAATAGATAGTATAATAACCTATTTTTTTCTTTATAAAACCTTTATATTTTTAGTCACATAACTTATATACACTGTGCACAAATCCAAATTCATTATACATTTGTTCCATACAAATGTAACTAATCATGTTGAAGGGACATCTTTTGTTTAATTTTGTTGCGGGAGTATATCAGTGTTGTTTTGTTGATCCAAATCGCGCGAGCCCAATGGGCCGGTAGACTAAGGAGTCAAACTATGGAGGTGAAAGAAGATGCACCTTACTTGTCCAACACTGAAGCCCTATGGTATAACGCTGGTCCGCAACAAAAAGAGAAAGCTCGAGTGAGCGAGAGTTCTTGAAGAAGAAGAAAAGAGAAAGCGAAGAAGCAGAAGAAAGGGGAGTGAGTGTGTGAGGGTTTGGGTGTTGAGAATCGAGAATGTTCCGAAACCAGTACGACACGGACGTCACCACATGGAGCCCGGCGGGGCGGCTCTTCCAGGTGGAGTACGCCATGGAGGCGGTGAAGCAGGGCTCGGCGGCGATAGGGCTCCGATCGAAGACTCACGTCGTTCTCGCATGCGTCAACAAGGCCAACTCCGAACTCTCCTCGCACCAGAAGAAGATCTTCAAGGTCGACAACCACATCGGCGTCGCCATCGCCGGCCTCACCGCCGACGGCCGCGTCCTCTCCCGCTACATGCGATCCGAGTGCATTAACTACAACTACACCTACGAGTCTCCTCTCCCCGTCGGCAGGCTCGTCGTTCAGCTCGCCGACAAGGCGCAGGTACCGCACCGCACCTAGGGTTTCCGCTTTCCAATTTCTCCATCTCATCCCGTTTTTAGTTATTTCAATTGAAACCGCGCGTCCTGGACTGCGCTTTTAATTTCGATTCTAGGTTGTGCGATCGAATTGTGGTTAGACTGAGAGTTTTAGGTTATGCAATTGTTTTCTGTCCGTGATTTCAATGAATGCGACGAGAGCATTTCTGCGATTTAAAACCTTGGTTGTGCTAGGGTTTTGTTCTTGTTACAGATCCTTGATATTGGGAACAATTGCGGACAAATGCAGTTGTGGAAACCGGGAAGGCTTGATGTTGAGGCCGTGATTGTGGTTTTTGATGTGTTGCTAATCGATTTCGGTTCTTTGTAATTGGTTGAGTGTGGGTTTTCGTTCTCTGATGTGGGGTGAACTTCTGTTGTTTTATGTTTTGAGGTTGTTCTTGTATTAGGGAAGGGGTTGGGTGTGATTTAGTGAGCATTGTAGCGGGTTATAACTAGGCTGCTGTGGTGGTGTTATAGCAGAGTGGATTCAGAGTTTCAAATAGCAGTGGTTTTCAATAGCTGCCAATGCAGCCAGAATAGTGGCTTTTATCATGGTAGAGCAATGCTTCCATGATATAAGCCCCAAAACCCCATTTTTCCCTTGAAACAATTTTTTAGCAGTGTTTTTAGTGTAAAATCGTGATTTCTTCCCTATTCTCTAATGCTTTTTTTGCTTCAAAAACATAATAGGATTTGAAACCCTTCTTCCTCGACCATTCCACAAACAAGTTATGGCTGTTTTATACGTCTGTTCCTTCATACTTATGAGGAGTATTTTTTTTCATGTTCAATTTTTTCTTCTTATTTTAGATTTCCCAATTCTCATTCTACTTAGTTGTATCTGATTTGTTGTGCTCTTTTTTTTATTGATCTCACTATCGTCTCTCATTTTAGGTTCATTATTAATGTACTCCTTATTGCTCCTTGATTGATGTTGATAGTTTGCAAGTATGACTTGTTATTTATCAGAATTTTCATTATATTTTTTTGAGAATTTATGTGTAGCATACATGGTAGTAAGAATCGCACGATACGCGATACGTATCGCACGATACGATACGGAGCCTCCGCGATTCGAATCGCATGTGGAATCGTTTTTGATTACGAATCGTATGCGAATCGCTTGTATCGTGTTCGGAATCGGAAAATCGCGATTCATAGGAGAAATCGCACGATTCTGGACATTTGCGGGTCACCACCGAAACCGGGTCGGGTCATGTATGATCCGGTTCTAAAAACCCTAAAAAAATGATTTTTTTTTTAAAAAAAAAACGAAATGAGACAGAAACTCCCGCTTAGACTCCCTGTACATGACCCACTTAGTGGGTTTCACTTTTTGTGGTCCATTTGCGTGATTCAACTTCTCTGCTTCGTTTGTTTGGGTTGCTTCGTTTGTTTGGGTTGCTGTTTGTGGTCCAAGGTAAGGGCTTCCTTCTTGTTGCTGCTTGGGTTGCTGTTCGTGGTCCAAGGTAAGGGCTTCCTTCTTGTTGCTGTTTGGGTTGCTGTTTGTGGTCCATTCCTTCACTTGTTCTCTCTTTTTTTCTTTGTTATTCCCTCTACAACTTCCCTCTCTTGCTGTTGTCTAAGTTTCTATTTGTGTGGCAGAATTTGTGTGGCAGAATTTGTGTGGCAGTAGCACCACTTGTTGCTGAGTTTATGCTGCAACAACACTAATATTTTTTTTGGGTAGCTATATTGTTGAATTAGAGTAGCAAACAGTCCCTTGTATATGCATATATTTAGCAACAACAATGGTTTTTTTTGGAGGCTTTGTTATTGAACTGTGCAGTCATTTCTTTTGGCTTTGAGACTGTTTTTATTTGTATAATTGTATCTTTGTTTGTATTGAAGTTTATATGTTACTAATTACTATATATTTATGTATGACTTCATTTATATATGTCTTGTATGCATATATATACATTATGTTTTTATTGATCATGAATCTTAAGATTCACGATACGATTCGATTCACGATTCAAAAAATAAGCCTTCCGATACATTATTTGTATCTCGATTCAACTACCATGGTAGCATAAATTATTTTGTTGGCATTATAATATTCTGCTTCCCACAATCTTGCTATAACATTTTAAAAACTGGCTGTAAAGCCTGCAATATTGATGCGTGTATATATAATTTTAAATAAATATGCTTCCTCTATTGTCGTTGTGCAATGAGAGGCCTTGCTGCCTTGGGTCCAATTTCTGTTTACTGTGAGAGGAAATCCTGAAAGATGGTAGTATATTTGGTGATGTCCTTCCAAGTTATGTATTTGTGTCGTAGTTTATACGTCGTGCAAATCTATGCTGAGATGGCTGTTTCACAAAGTGAAGTGGAATGCGGATTATTGTTATGTTGAAGTCGATGTAACTTGCTTGTAAAAGTCCTAGTTGAATTAGGTTCATGTCATCAAACAGTTTGTGTCCATTAAAGAAATAAATGTATTTTGACCTGGATTTTTCTTACTGGGGTTGACAGATATTTCAGTAGATATAGAAAGTATGATGAACAACATATTCAGGAGTATTAACCATTCTCTCCCTCGTCTATTTTATTGGTTTTAGGTTCTTTCATGTAGTTGGTAGTTACATTATTGGAAACTGATATGTTTAGTTCACAATGAGAAAGATATTGGATTAGCTAATCTATATTATTTTATGATATACAAGTTATACTTGTGTTTTAGTTGTAGAAAATTGAATGAATAGGGTATGGGAGGCAAAGATTGTGCTTTATCTGCAGAATTATGTGGCAAAAGAGGACAGAAAGAAAAATTTATCTGCAAAATTTATTAAAACTGAAAAGATATCTTTCTCATCAGTATTTGTGATGCAATTTTGAGTTGCAGGTTTGCACACAGCGATCATGGAAACGTCCTTATGGGGTTGGTCTTCTGGTAGCTGGATTAGATGAATCTGGAGCTCATCTCTATTACAACTGTCCCAGTGGAAACTATTTTGAATATCAGGCTTTTGCTATTGGATCTCGCTCTCAGGCTGCAAAGACATACTTGGAACGTAGGTATGAGAACTTCATGGGCTCTTCACGAGAAGATCTGATCAAAGATGCACTTATCGCAACTAGGGAGTCCTTGCAAGGTGAAAAGCTCAGGAGTTCTGTATGCACTGTTGCTGTGGTTGGAGTTGGTGAGCCCTTCCACATTTTGGACCAGGAAACTGTTCAACAATTGATTGATACTTTTGAGATTGTGAAGGAGGAAGAAGCCCCTCCAGCTGAACCTCAACCAGCAGCCGAGCAGGATGCTGCTGCAGAACAGGGTTCTGGCGCAGATCAAGGTGGTGCTGCTGGAGAACAAGGTGGTTCTCCTATGGAAATTTGATAATTTAAAATAAAGTGCTAGAGGTGTTGAATACCGATATTTAAAGATGGGTAGATTAGATTTATATTGAGTTTGTCATGGGAGAAGACATCTCTTTGATGGATTTTCTTTCCTTAATCTGTTTGCTTCTGCAATTCATTTAATAGTTGTTTGATGAACTTCACGCACCCTTTACAACAATTTACTCAAATTCAGGCCGAAAAATGTTGGACAAACTGTTTAAGCTCTATAATTTTCATGGGTAACATTGTTTCTCAAGTTATGAAAAATACTGGGTGAACAGTGGCAATTATAAACAATATCGACCGAACTAAATTATTATTATTATTTTTATTTGAATAAACTGTTAGTTTCTCTTTCTCGCTCTTTAGCAATGTCTCTATGCATACCCTGCACCCATATTAACCCTCCCCAACTCTACTCATCAAACTCCCAACTCGTTGAACAACCCCAAAATGATGCACTGGAGCACAACTATGTGAACCCTAAAATTTTTTAGTTTCATTGCTCTCTGATTCCTCACATCCAACACTAATATTGTAGGTGTACTCCCGCCATAGGATCATAGCAACAATAACCAACTAGTAGGAGCACAAATGGAAAGGGAGGGGAATGCATAATTTAGTGATTACTAAGGTGGTGGGTGGTTTAAGAATGTACCAATACCATCCAAGGTGGCTGGTTTGAGAATCATTTTAGTTTGTGATTTTGGATGGTGCAAAGGTGTTTGATAATGTTTGTGATTATTCCACACCACTCGATGAGTGGCTTTTTCATGACTCTGTTAAAAGTAAAGATGCTGCTCTAATAACCAGTTTACTCAGTAATAATGATTTTCATATAGAGCATTTGTCTGTTAGGTGAAATTTACCAAAACTATGCCCCTTGATGACAGGCGGGGGTGTCATCATGGGAGGGTTTGTAACTGCAATCTTTGTTTCTGTTTTTTAGGCTACATTCGGCTTATCAGGAAAAGGAAAAGGGGCACTCGTTACTGATCTAATATCTTCTCTTGTTATTAGTATTACAATCTGTTTGTTCTTATGATATTTTTCTTCGTTACAATTAGATTGGGATGTAAATAGTGAATGACATTGGAATACGTATGTTGGCTAAAATGCAGCAGAACGTGCTGGTACGGTTCAGCTCTTTGAATACCAGTTTAATTGAAAATGTTTTTGAATAATTTTACTACAATTACGTGCATTTTGAGATTAGGAGCACAATTCAAAGAAAACTGTGGAGCCTTCGTCATCTTATTCTGCTTCACATAATATTGCAAATGAAAAACCAGAATCTTCATAGCAAATTAATGGAGATAAAGATAATAGTGGCGAGGCCATGGGTGACACCGTGATATTTCTGCAGACACAATTGATAACTCATTCCCCTTTACAGGCTGGGAGAAAAGACGTAAAAAATAGCTCTTTGGGTCCGATTTTTTTATTTATTTGCCACTTAATTTTGATGGTGAGCTAATCAATTTCAGTTCGAGTGGAAACTCGGGGAAGAAACAGTCAGACATCAAGTACACTACAAGTTCTATAAGTGTCTTACTCATTAATAAGATTATCCATCAAAGTAGCATCAAAATGACTGATCACATGCAGTCTCAACTCTCAAGCACTAATTTGCATTTTCGATTCCTTCACGAACTAACTAGAAGACGCGTTACGCATTCAAGAATCAAAATATTACTTCACATTTTGTTAGGAAATAATTCTTATTTTCAGGGTTTGAATATAATTTTCATCAATGTAATTTACTCTTTTTTTTTTCATTTTTAATTCCCGTAAATTTTGTTATTGTTTCATCCCTAACCTTTTATAATATTTTAAAAATAATATTTATCATCAATTAATATTAAAAAATTCTAACAAATAGAATATATATTATATTTATTATATTTCGGTTCATCATTTTTATATAGATAAATTGATTTTAATTTTTTTATAGATAATTTCAAAATACACTTCATTATGTTCAAGATGTTTATGATTCTTGTTTCGTCCTTGAGGTCACATTTTCCCTGTCCAATTCAAATCTTACACTACAAATCTTAAACCTTCAAATTCAAATCCTAATCTCTTGGTAAGGAACAACTTCTCACAATTCACAATCTTGATAATAGTGTCAAATTTGTCCTCAACAATCACAGTGTTTGAGGTTACCACTGGCCTCTATCTCACCATGGAGGAGTTCAACCTCATGCTCAACTACTAACCATTGTGTTGGAGCTCATTTGTCACAAGGGTGTCAACCACTCTATCGGTGTTACTACGAATGCCGCTTTCTCCAAGATCAAGAAGAACTATCCTGTTTAGCTCAAAACCATCAAGACCATTGTCACCTATAGCTAGGGTGCATTATTCCACAATTCGAAGAGGGTGCACGTGAAGAATAAAATAAAATGACAATAGTGAAGTGTATTTTGATATTTTGTCTAAAAGAAATTAAAATTAATTTACTATTACATGACAATGACAAAGTAAAATATAATGAATATAATATATACTCTATTTGTCACATAAGATTTTTGTAACGAAAGTTGACGATAAAAACTATTTTTGAAACTATTTTTAAAACGTTATAAAATATTAAGAATGAAATAAAACAAAATTATAGACATTAAAAGTGAAAAAAAAATAACAACTTATGATGAAAGTTATATTTAAACCTATTTTCAATTTCAAGTCTACGAAACATTGTATAAATATAAAAAAAATATTATCCTTTTATTATATGTCTTGGAATTAAAATATTATATATATTTTAAAGATTTTTTTCCTTTCAAAATTAAGATGCAATATTAATAAATAAAAACTTTTAAAATAATAAAAATCACCCAAACTTATAGAGGAGGATTAGAGTCACATGAAATATTTTTGTGAATATAAAAATTAAAGCCAATCAATAACCACATTAACTAAACTTAAGATAATAAATATTTATTGAAATATTGTCATAAATGTAGATATGATGGATTGAACATTGAATTTCGTAAAATAAATATATTTTGTGTGTTCTCTCGTGCGTAAGAAAAAGTTTTTATTCTCAACTGTGGTATCTCATGATTTGTACAGCTTGATGACCTATCACAGACTATTGATGTTTGATGAAGTTAATGGTGAATCTGTGTGACGAAAGCTTTCTTGACTGTGCAAAAGTCAAGCGGCATGTTCTATTAAACTCGGATATAACTATAAGTATGATATTACCAAATGAAAAATATCTAGCCACCAGCACACAGCGGTCTTACCTTTGAAAACTTCACACATTCTCAATTTACAGTTAAGAAAATCAAAGCAACCATGAGTTTGGTATGTGATTAATTGAGCTAGGAATGGCAATTCTACTTGCATTAAACTCAAATATATTGAAGCCTCAAGTACACTTGGTGTGTTTCCGTGGAATTTGCTTAGGCTTGCATGCATTAATCAAACCAGTCATGGAAGAAAAATAGGTGCCCTTTAGTGGCAAGAGGTGAAATGTAAAGGAAAAAAGAGAAAAAGGAAGCAACCACTTTGTAATTTCTATGATTGATACTATTCATTTGGATGTATCAGGCGTGAGAAGATCCTTTATTTGCATTTGTTTGTACATCCACTGGCGATTCTCTGATGTCACTTCACCGCCAAGAGAGCGAACAACAGACCCACCACTGCATGCGCCCACTTTGCAGCACTCTTCAAGTGACAGACCTTTGATCACTCCATACAAAAACCCACTTGCAAAAAGATCCCCTGCCCCAGTAGCATCAGTTGCCTTTGCTTCTCCTATGGCCGGGACACGTGCAATCTGACACGTTTAAACACACATAATTCAAAATAATGAATCACTAGTTGAGTTAATCAATCATTCCACCATCTATATGATACAACAACACTGTTCACATCCTTGCTTGCTAAGTTTCATCAATGTGAAACTTTATCACTTTCCCCCCCTATTGATTTGGATCAATATCATCACATCAACAAATACCATCAAACAATTTTCTGCACTACACTACTGTTAGGGTATGTTTGAGAAATCTTCTTCAAATAAAAAGAAAAAATAAAATAAGTTGTTCTAACATATGTACTAATTTCAGTAATTTGTAGAAATTCTTTCTTATTAGTTTTTTCATTTTTTATTTTTATTTTTATGTATGAACTAATTTTAATTTATTGAAAAGCTTATTTCAATTACTTATTTTTTTTCTTTCTATCTAGAAGACAGATCCTTATACTGTTAGTGTTACTAAAGCATATTTTGAGCTTATCATACCAACAGAAAAGGCTCACTAGTCACTAATATGATTATCAGTCTCTTCATATTGGAGGGCAACAGCATCATAAAAAGTTCCTAAAAGGTACTTTACACCTATTGTTTGATCTAGTTATAATTATGGTTTCCATCTGGAACATTAACAAAAAGTGAAAAATGGACTCATCACACTAATTCCATACCATATAAAGAAAATGGAAATTGGGCGTGAAATATAATTCACAAAGATAATTGACACACCTCGTTTCCATGTTTAGCAATGCATCCATTAGGACCCAGAGTTACTACGGCCCATTGACAATATTTGGCAAGAAAATCTACGGCAGTTTCAGGATCAGCATTCTGTCCACCCCTGAATATCCATTGTAAAGTGACACCATTTATCAAAAACAATCAGCAGACTACTTATTAAGTGAAACTAGGACAATGAATAACTTGGAATATGCATATGTTGATACAAAGCAGGGTTAAGTTACAACGACAATCACCTTAGAAGCTCTGTTGCCTCATCCTCATTGGCAAAGCAAAGGTCAATGTTCCCAGACTCTAGTAGCTTCAGAAGTGGTTGTTTAAAATTCCTAACCATCTTGCCAAAATAAAGAGACCATATAAGACTAGTGATATAATTTACATAGCTGATGCAATTACCCAGATATTATGTGATGTGTAGAAAATGAAAATTTTCCGTATTTGCATATATTGGTACTTAGTACCTAATAACTCAAACATGAAACATGACATCATAGTTCATAACTGAGGTATGTTGATTCAGATAATAGTTCATCAAGTTGTGTAGAATACCTCAAAGCTGGCCAAGTCCAAGGAAACAAGAAGACCTTCTTGTTTTGCTAAAAGAATGGCTGCTTGAATCACTTCGAAATTGAGTATTGCATATCTTAACACCAACCACTGAAATGTTTGATATCAGCAACAAGTTTAAAATGCAGAGTACCGAATATATGGGAAATTCACCCTCATCCTATGATCCAAATTAGTCATGAACAATTAATGCAGTCCTAGAAAATAATCAATATAGTCCATATAATGACCGAAAGAATTAGATTAATATTACAAGAACAAATGAAACATACATGACAAAATAAAAAGCACCAAAAATATCATAATGTTTTAATCAATTGATGAAGACAACAACCTTGGAGCCCTTAAAATCCTTTTTGGTCAATTCTTCTGCCTGCAGAAAACATAGTAATTGTCAAACTATTATGTTCCACCCCAAACTACACGCATATATTTGAAGATACAACAGAGTCAAGTCATGTACCTGAACTTTCACGGCATTTGAGAGACAGGGTCGCATCGTTCGGTTTCCGAAAGCGTCAACCAAACAAACACACTGTGACAAACAAACAAGTTGTTACATTTCCACTTTTGTATTTAATGGAATAAATTCTAGAACAAAATTTAAATGCAGCTTCTTGTAAACAATTTTTTGTACCTGGTGAAACTCCAATTCTAATCAGAGATAAACTCTCATTAGAATTGAAATTTCAACTCGATAATCACAATCAGCTTAGCAAAAGTTTACATTAGACATAAGAATCATGTGAAACTCTAATTCTGATCAGATATCTGACTCATCAACACAAAAACACCTAAGACATATAAAGTTTATCCTAAGGGTATGTTTGGTTCCACACCAAACATGTTAAGAATCAATCCATTGCATAAAAAATAATCGGAATAACGTTCGTAGTATGTTCGGCTTTTAGCCAAATTGGTTTCAAGAAATGAAAATTCACATTCAGGTGAAAGTAATTATTATTAGTTTTTCAATCAAATAAAATCAATTTTAGAATTTTATCTACCTAGATTTATAACAAGTTTTCAAACAACATTTAATATAAAAATCAAGTTCATATCTTTTGTCAGACAAAAATAACGTTGACTTATGTTTACTTAAAATCAATTCTACAAATTAACGTTGATTCTAAACCAATTATATCAACTCATTTTCAAACACACACTGAATCTTGTGATTTTAGGCAGACCTGTGCTGTATGTCCTTTCTTGTTCCTGAGTCTGGAGAGGTCAACTCCATTGGAGTTCATGTTATGGACAAATAACTTGCCTTGCTCATCATCCCCACACGCCCCAATAATTCCACTAGAAATCCCAAACCCACTTCTGAGTCCACGAATTGTGTTTGCAACACTGCCTCCAGCCAAGGTCTTAACACCATCAAGATCATGGCCCGATATAACATGGTTTTTCACCTCCCTGAGTATATGTTCAAGCTCTCCAAGCGCAACCTACAAGTGTCATGTCATGTAATTGAAGTTCGAAGGTGAGAGCGATGTTTATAGAACCAATCCAGCATGGCATAAAAATTAGAAAGAGAAGAACGAACCCAGCAAGTAAAAATGAAAAGAAAAAGTAAGATGCAAAATAAAGAGTAGTTTTTGGATAAAAAAAAGAGAAAAGCAGTGATGGGGTGAGTACAGGTATGGAGCCACCATGTTCACCGGGAATTTGATGGAGCAAGGAGCAATCAACGCGTGCCACGTGGTCGACAAGGGCTGAGGGTTGGAGTCCTAGAACGAGAGGAGGAGGGTGTGTGTGGTTGTTGGACAAAGGTTCTGCTCCCATGTTTATGATTCTTGCTTGGCTCCAACTCCAATAATGTGTATGTGTTGATGCAGTGTCAAGTGTCAAGTGTCAAGTGTCAAGTGTGGAGTGTTATATAGTATCATAGATGATGGCACAGTGACCGCACGATGGCGCCGCAGCAACCCCCGGATATTGCGCTCTGTAACTTTCTTCTTCTTCTGCTTCCTACTACTTCACTTTCTACGTATACATGTGCCTCTCCTTTCTATCATATGTAAGTTATAAGCTATACCTGGATTCCAGGTAAATAATTTATTCAATTTTATTTTTAAAATCAAGATATGCTTTAAAAGATATAAAAGTTAACAAATTCCGATATTATTATCATCGAAAAAACCGTTCAAAATATAATTATCCAAACTAATCTTAATTGTATTCTTTCTTCTCAAATATTATAATTACGTGATTGTTTTCTCAAAATTTTAATTAAATAATTTTAGTCATGAATATATTATATATAATTATATAACTTTTGAACAATTTTTATTCTTTCAATAATAATAATAATAATAATATTTATTATTATTATATTTTTTCATGTAGATAAATATTATGTGACCAAATTCATTATTTTTCTGCCAAAATATCACTAAAATTTTATTTTATTTTTAATTTATAAAATATATAAATATAATAAGTAAATGACAAATATATATTCTGATTAAATAAATAAATTAAGTTATAAAACCTAATATAGGATGATTTTTATAATCATAGTACGTAATTAATTAGTTGTCAAGTTATTAAAATAAGGCATAATATATATATATCTTGAATATAATATCATATAATTCAACAATTGAATTGTTTAAGTTTGTATTATACACAAAATTATTAGATATAAGATTTGGTATAAGTATTTAAATTTATATCTAGTATCAACTAATCTTGATTCTCTCTCTCCCTCTCTATGTATTACTTCTATTTTTAATTTTTATTTTAATAAATTATTTGAATTATAATTAAACATTTTACAACATAATTATGATGTGAAAATCAACTTAATAAGTTTAAAACATTTACCGTATATTTTAATTAAAAATATTTTTTACAATCTTTTAATCAACATTATTTAGAGATGATAAGTTAAATAGAATGATTATATTTTAATAAAAGTGTATACTAACACATGATTTTACATTGATATTATATTATTCACTTTAATTATCGTAAAAAAGGTCTTTGACTAATAAAATATGTGTATAATTTATAGGTTTATATTTTGTATCCTAATAATCCTCATTTCAAACGAAAGACCTAACATCTCACTCAAGAGAATCTAGGTCTTGTACTTGTTTGTATGAATCAAACCATGATACGTTATTTTGCATAAAAGTTTATACTAAGATCCTATAATCTTGTTCATTTTAGATTTAAACCTTCATAAATTATATTTTGTCATCACTTAAAATGAAGTATGTGTGTGATTTGTAAACCCATATTTCTCCTTTTGTTTTAACAATGTAAGACATTATTTATATTCCAAGACCAAAAGAGGGGTGTAAATATATAATACTTACATCATATTCGTATAATTTACTTTAATTACATTAAATTAAATAAATTAAATTATATATTTTAACATAAATTAAGAAGAAATGACAAAATAATATTCACATCATCTTTAAGAATAAAATAGTATAATTTACTCTTAAATAAAGTATGTTATTTAATTAACATAAACTAATAAATTAATTTTAACATCTTAATATCATATATGTAACTGAACAACTAAAACGTGGCATACATTTCCCTTTGCTTCCTCTCCACCGAGAAGACTTTGATTTGTATCAAAGTTCTATTATCTATCACTTGCGGATGCTGAGAGCCATTGCTAAAAAAAATAATACAAATGCAGAAAAAAAAAAAAAATAATATATATATATATATATATATATTTAAATTTATAAAGAAATATTACTACTTCTTATTAAGTCAGCTCCTATATAAATAAAGTGATATTTTGAGTGGTGTTCCTATGTCCAATATTGTAGAAATAAAATTTCAATTATTAATTAAGGAGTACAAATGTCACAGCATTTGAATTAATGACTTAAAAAACATAAATATCTAACCACTTAAACACAAATACAACAATGAGAAAGGTATATTAATTTGTATAGATAATCTTCTTCATAAGTATTTCTTAAATAACAAAATAAAAAATTATTTTTTTATAAATTAAAATTAACCTATATACAAATTAAATGTTTTAAAAAAGTTAATAAAAAGAGTTCTTATAAATCAACTTATACATAAACTAATTTTTATTTATTAAAAAAAAATTATTTATTTTCTTAATTTTCTCCGTAGACCAATGCAATTAACCATGAAAGTCGTAATCTCCAAGATGTTTGTAATTGTAATGAAGATGACAATGAAATTCAGAGTTGACACATTCATTTGCCGTCAAAGGAAACGTGATTATTGTGAAGACAAAATATTGTTGAACAAAGCAAAACGCCAAAAGTGCATCACTAAAGCCAACACTTCATTTCTTAATGCATAAAAGTGTGAAAGGCACTGAATAATTGAATCCTATAATTCACTTCTTTAAGCCCTAGGCATAGTCTACTACAATTTACAACATTTCTTCGCCGCTCATTAGTCCAACCCTCGTTTGTTCTCTATCACTTTTCACAACTTAATCATGAAATTTATAATAAGCTAATATTTCAGTAATATCCAACAAATTTATATGCATGCAGCATGCTCCTTTGTGAATTTGTAATGTTAAAAACACCATTCATATTGGTCGTAGCATGTGTCTAAATTAAATTATTGCTTTTAGGCCACCATATGTTGGAATCTGAAAGGGTTCCACAAAGCCATAAAGACAAAGTATTGGTCCTCAATTTCAGCTGACTTGTATATATTCTATTAACACCAAACAAAAGAAAAAGGTTCCAAGACCGGCCATATCTAACCTCAATAATGACAATCATATCACATTATCTCTTCAGCATTGTGCATAGGATTGAGATAATGGATTTAGGAAAGTATTGCAGTATTTTATTTTTTTTAAAAAAGTATTTATCAGTTCTATATTATTATTATTTATTTTAAATAATGACTTTATTTAATAATATATTATGCAATATATATTAAATAATGAAGAGTATTTAACATTTCCATTGGTGAGTGTTTGTATAAGGTATCTTACTAATAAAAAATCGTGCTAATTAATAACTTTGATTAAAATATGATGACATAATACAGAAAATTGTTTAAAAATAAGTATAGACTCTTAAAAATAAATAATGTTACTTATGAATTAAAAATAATAATTTTTAATTTTGATTCTTTCAATGAACATAAAAAAAATACAAACCCCTCACAAATTAAAAGAAAACACATAATCATGCATTATCAACCATCTATCACTCATGAATAAAAAAAACTAGTCTCTCACCATTGTTATATATTCCTCATAGTTAAGTAGTTTTTTTTTTAACATTTAATTTTTTTATACATATTAAATTAATTGTATAAATTTTATTATTAATTTTTTATATATTAAAATATTATTTAATATGGTTAATTGTATTCATATTTAATTATAATAATTACATTAAATTTATAAGTTGATAAAAAGTGAAGCGTAAATAAAAGAATTATAAAAGTATGAATTGTTTATAAGATCTTATTATTGAAACAAAGTTCGTAAAAACATTATATGAGTTGTTTAAAAATAATATAACATTATAGATCTTATTTAAAATGAAATTAATATCTTAATAAATTACTTATAAAACTATCATAGAAGATTATCTTAGCAACAATTTTTTTAAATTGTCAAAATTTTGTTGAAAACTATAAACTCGTGAGCAAGGTGCATTAAATAAGAAGTAGCTAGACTCCTATAATGTTGGGATTTTTATCAAACTTGCTCAATAATAAATAGTGTTTTTAGAGAATGTGTCTTCATATCAATATATTATTCTTAATGAGCGATAATGGATTCGACTTCTTTTAAGTACGGTCATATATATATATATAAAAAGGTTGAACGACATTAGTATAATTTTTATTAAGTATTATATCGTTTAATAATTTTATATTAAATTTAAATTTTGTAAATTTAATTGTTTGATTACAAATTTATATCACTTTATATATTTATATTAAATTTTGTTAAAATTGAACAACAATTTAAAGATAATCAAAATGTTCATATTTTATTATATTTTGAAATGTATATATTACGTCAATTTTATTTTATAAGAATTAAATATCAAATCATCTTGGATTAATATAAAATTTTGTATATATAATCTAAAAATAAAGAACTTTCAATATAATTGGTTGAATTTTATAAAGTTATTGAGTGATGTAATACTTAATAAAAGCTGATATCAATGTCGTTTGAACCCTCTCTCACTATATATATATATCATTAATTATGATTTTAAAATAACTATTTTGTTTTTTATATATACAGTCTAATTGATAACTTTATTTTTCTAAATTTTTAAAAGAAACATCAACTAAAAAAAGTGTATTAATAAAATATATATTTTTCTATCATGTAAATAGTAAATAGATAAAAAAAAAATTTACACAAAAATTGTATTAGAAGAACATACTCTTTGTTAAGATTGCAAATATCTTGTATGACTTTAGTGATATGACTTTCTTATCCTTTTTATATGTCTTCTTTATTGTTGAGAGATGTGATGAAGAGCTTGTATTTAAGGAATAGTTGGTTTATTTTAAAAAATAATTAATTAATTCTTACAAATGAATCTATGTCAATAAACATACACAACTTTTCACTTAACTTATTATAGATGAATTGTAGTTTTATGCCTTTTAGAATTTTTAATTTGAAGGGTCAATGTGACAACATTATGTATTTTAGCGACTAAAATGGCCTCTTAATCGTAAAAATTTAAGAAATGAAAATTTATAAAACTACATTATATAGTAAAGAAAACCTAATTTGAAAAAAATTAGTTTCAGAAACTTTTAGATTATTTTAGAAACAGAAGAAGGATAAAGGAACAACAGAATAAAACAAGTTTTCTATTCTTCAACTGTTAGAAACTTATAAAAAAGGAAAGAAATGTGAAATTCATGCATGTATATAATGTCTTTGTCCTTGAAAGAAAGGAGAAGAAAGGTGACTCATATTATCAAAAGTTAAACTTGTCTTAATTTTTTTATTTTATGCATGTATGTTTTATTTTATTATTAT